ATAGACATAATTTAATCTCAATACCTTCAACACATTTTTCTTGTGCAGCTCTCCCCTCCAAGCAAAAACCTCCGCGATGACAATAATACAATTTATCAGATAACATAGAAACACAAGAACACTAGAAAGAAGAAAAAGTGATAATGCATATTCAAAAGGATAACTCAATAAGAAAAAAGTCTATTTTAGGCAAAACTAAACCATCGCAAAAGAAACCGCATATACCTAAACACAAACAAGAACAAGCAGCAACACAATTTCATCAAAGATTAAAACCATAGACCAATGCAGATGCAAAAGGTTCACCAGAATTATTATTTTGCATTCACATAACTCCCAATAAACAACCATTGTACCTTCTCCTGTGTGCCTTTAAAGCATCAAAAGACTTTATGACTGTCTCTAAGCATTGGTAGATGTCCTGGAGAAAAACAACATCAGGCCCTTGAAAGACCAGAAAAGATAATGAAGCGTCTCACTATCACATATAACATTCAACGAGCTCTACTATAATGGAAAAAATAATTCAGAATGGCCCTGAGACATTCAAAGAGCTTATTCAGATGGAAAGTTTCGAAACATAGACTTCTACAATGAGCAAAGTTGGCAATGAGATTACACAGCAGTATAAAGAAAGAATGCGCCATTAGCAGGTTGTCTTACAATAGAACCAGTAAATTCCCCCTGATAATAGCTGCTGGTGACAACTCCACCCATGTTGATATAGTAACCAAAGCTCTCAAGGCAGCATAAGGAAGATAGAGACAATTCAAAGATTAGAACCTTAAATTAGAATTAAGATGTGTAATGTACAAATATCTAGGACAACAGCATTTCCTGATATAACAGAGAGAGAACTGCAACAATCGGTTTCACTTGCCAGTGATGAATGGGTGAGCTAATGCCTGTGATACAGTCAGTCTCCTCTCAGGGTCAAGAATGAACATTTTGTCTAAGAGATCCCTGAAATGAGCTAACATCTTCGGATCCTCTCCAGGGTAACCTTTAATAATTGAGCTAAAATCTTTTGGCTTTACGTTTACAATCATTCTCTTTATCATCTGAAAAGGAAAAGATAATTGATTACTCACCATCTATTAGTTTTCAAACTGCAAAGTGCAAGAGAAAACATAAGGACTGGCTTGTTACCTTCCCACTAACAGTGTCCTCCTCTGTAGCGTAAAAGTTCAAATCGTGATCAAAGTGCTGATCAATAAATGCTCCCTGTTGAGCCACAAGCACAAGCGTAAGAACAAGTATAGAAAAGCTGCTTCTCTTAAACCTACAAACTAGATCTCTACTCTACGCATATGAAGTTCTTTTTTTCTAATTCTCTAAAAAAGCGGTCATTGAAAAGACGTTTTGATAACAGATCTAATTTAATGCTTACCTTGCGAACCATCTTTTTAGGGAAGGGGCCTTTCAGCTCCATATGAAGGCGTAGCATATCATTGTTTGTGGCACCAGGGAAAAGAACTTTCCCGCAATAAAGCTCATATAGACAGCAGCCGACCGACCATATGTCTAGTGGATGGTCATAGGCGAGCCCCAGAACTGCCATGGAAAACATAGAAGCTTCAGTCATAAGTTTCCTAGCAATAATCAATGAAATATTCTCTAAAATCCAAAAGTATGACAATTCTCACGGAAGATAAAACTTACTGATTTCAGGGGATCTGTAAAAGCGACTAACAAGATATGGCGTAACTTCGTTTTTGCCAGCAAACATTGCATTACCAAAGTCACAAAGCTTTAACACGTTCTTGTTCTCATTCACCTGGACAAACCGAGGAATTGTTAACAACCTTAAGAAAGCTACCTGAATGAAGTATGTGAAACCCACAGAAATGTATAACTGACCAGCATGTTGTCAGGTTTTATATCACAGTGAAGAACCCCACAATTTTTCAAATGTTTCAGGGCAATGAATAGTTGCTTCGAATAAGATCTAACAGCAGAGAGTTTAAGTCCAATGTTGCGGCCAAACTTCTTCAAGACCTCACGAAGATTCAAATGGAGTGACTCAAACACCAAGCAAAGGTGATTCCGGTACTTAAAACTTGAAAGAAAACGAACACAGTGGCGCTTGTCCTCTCTGTCAGCGCCAGCCAGCTTCTTCAATATCTGAACCTCAATCTGGCCAGCTTTATGCCTAAACAAAATGAGATATAGTAATGAGCCGCAAAACAATAAAGATGGTAAATCAGATATTGCATAAGAATTAGTCAGGGACTATAGAATGCACCACCTACATTGTCTCGTTGTTACGAATAATTTTTATAGCCACTACATCAGGTTCAGCTGGTCCAGCTTTTAAATCTTTTGCACGAACCACAGTAGAGAAGACACCTTTTCCATGAGTAGCAATGACTTCGTATCTACCGTCAAGTAACTCGCCAAACTGATAACCTAAAAGGCAGAAGAGACTATTTTTAAGATGAATATTAACAGAAGGGCTTTTACAAGTTGAAAAGATGTACAAAACACAATATACATGAAATGGTCACAGTAATTATCCATAGACAGGTCTTAGTAAGTTGGGATGTAACTCAATACACACAGAAAACACTTACTGTAATAACCCTCTGCATCATCCCAATTATCATGAAGCCCACTCCTTACCATCGGCACACCATCACCTTTCCCTCGCATGTGACCCTAAAAGAAGAAAGCTTTAAATAAGGAAAGAAGAAAATGCTAAAAAACAAAAACCTCACAAAACAAACAAATATTTTCCTGAACCACTACTGATAAAAGGCTTTATGAGAATCAGAATAGTAGATTCATGACAGCAAGAGAAACTTAAGTGTCGACAAAAAAAAAAGAGAAACTTAAGATGATAAGAAGGCTATTGAACTGTTTGAACACGAAAAGGTCAGAAGATGCCAAGAAATTGAGTTAAATACATACCACTTTCCGATTACCAGCTGGGGACTCTCCAAATATATCATCATGAAACATGTCAGCTGATCTTTCACTCTGGACAAACAAAATTACATAAGATCGAGAAACATCATTACGTATATATTAAATGATAGTATAAACATAAAAACCAATAAATTACTCACAACCACACACTAGCACCAATACCAAAGAAACAATAAGGTTTTCTTTGCTAACGCACCTTTGGGCTACCTTCACCAAGCCCTGCTGGAGCTTGACTCCTCTCGGAGCCTGAAATTTCAAACATAGTAGGTGGCCCACCAGCACTTAATGATGGCTTAGCAACATCACCAACTACAGCATCAAAGTCCGAGTTAGCTTTGGCTTGACCAACATTAGCAGCTACGGCAACTGCAGAAGAATCCGAATCTGGAGCGCCAGTTTCTTGAACGGCATCTGGAACAGAAAGAGAGCCACATTAGGACTGACTCAAAGCTCAAAATCTCAACAAAAAAGGTTTGTACAAGTGACTATGGGAAATCAGTCAACAAAAAGCTACTGAAAACTAATTACAGCTTTTCTATTAAAGAGCCATTCGCATATACCAAGTTGAATGGATCAGCCTCATTGTGATAGACAAAATGCAACTGAATTTCACATTCAAGAACTATCTTAACAAACAAATGAAAACCTCAAAGGATTATTAACAACTCAAAACACATAAGAAAGTCCATATTTAAAAAAATCATCTGAACTATCATGCTCAAGT